ATTAGCCCGAGGGGGGTTCCGAATATCCTACCCCATTAGCAACGGGAAAGGAGGCATTGGATTGCCTAAGTGAAATGAGATGCTGTTGGTCTTCGATTTCAATGTCACTTGCTGGGGTAGTCGGTGCTCGGGCTTGCTGCAACGTGATGTGCGGCCTCGTTGTCAATGTAATTGGCGCCACATCCTCGGGGCTTGGCAGTCAGATTTCGTTCAGAACTGCCGAAGAAAGACTTCAATACCACAGCCTCTTCTATCAAATATGACCCTCATCAAATGCCTAAGAGTCGCATCCCTTCACTGTTGTTTAGCAGACGGAGCAATGCGGCCAGTCGGCACCGACCGGCATCCCGGGACGAAAAGTGGATCCTCGGGAAAGCAGGTATCGAGAGGACGGACTGGACTGGCCGTCCGGGGCCCGTCTCGTCTGCCGCCGCTCCGTCTGAAAAGGTTGAGATGGGACAGAGTTCCGGAAGGCATGACTTCAACATCGGCCGACCTTCCCTTCTAACACAACCGCTGGGCCAAGAAAGGGCGGCGCGTCCGTTACGCGTAAACCGCTCTGCTGCGCCCATTCCATACTCCACCCTGTGCTATCCCTTTGTGAAGACAAAAAAATTGGCGGACGACCTGAAACTGCCAGACGCTTTTGCTGGCAATCAATCAAAACCAGCCATGGCGTTGAGGCATTGCTGTGTCTTGGCCCGAGATCGTGCCCGCTGTTTCGATTTCAATTGAGATCGTTGGCCAGAGACTTCATCATGAGAGAGTGAAACAGAGACGTTTGCCGCTTTCCCGCTAGTCAAGATGCTGTTGGACCCCCAATGCAATGCAACCCTGCATTTGGACGACATTACCACCGGTTCGCTAAAGTGGGAGAGGAATTACTCGTATTCCGGCGACCCGTCCGCACGATTCGGGAAAATACAGTGGAGTTTTTTTGCCTTAGTCTGCCCCCGCCGGGTCTATCTTTTTTATTCATTGACAGAACATAACGGCACTGCATCCATCCTTCGACTCCTTCCTCTTCCCACCCCAAGGGGGAATGAAGGCGCTCTCTCGGCACACTCGGGACCGTCTTAGCGGAATGGCAGGAGGATTCGTTACCCAGCGCGGCGTCCTAGGCATCCGCAAAACCATTAAAGCAAATGTCGTTCGGGAGGCAGTGCAAGGCTCGACAAGACAAGAGCGAAGGGGTTCTTCAGCTGGACATGGTGCAGTGCAGTGCTTGCTTGATTGCTGCAGTGGCTCTCTCTGCATGTTTCCGTCTCCTCCCTCCCCCCTTCCCCTCTATCCCCTATTATCCCCCCCCCCCCCCCCCCCCCCCTTCTCCATTCTTCTCCAAGAAACCCCCAAGAGCTCAGGAACGCCTGGAACGGGCCGTTGGCCAACTAGCGCAGCGTTCGCTCCAACACCTGAGACGTTGGCAGGATTGGCGATCGACGTTTGACTCTTTGGCTAGTGAACTGATTGGCACATTTGGCACATTTGGCACATCCAAAAACCAATGGTGCTGAATCAGTGCAGAGGGTTAGGCGCCCGAGTGCACGAGTTGTGCAACATTGGTTCGCTTGGCCCAATTGGCCGGATCCCCACCCCAAGCTTGCTTCGCCTCGTCGACTAATCTTATCATCACGAACTGGGAAAACATGTACGCGTTTAGCGGTAAAAAAAGGGGCATGAGGCAGATCTCTTGGCAGGTACGCCTGCACATCAGTCCCCAATGAGGGTCCATAGAAGCATGGCGAGCCCCCTTTCTCGAGCAGCATGCCCAGGCCAGCCAGCATTGACGAATAGTGAGTGGATGAGTGAGAGAGAGAGAGAGAGAGAGTCTGTGAGTTGAGTGAGCGAACCAACCGACCCAACCCAGTCAGCCCAGCCCAGCGAGACAGAGAGCAACGCGGCTCCGCTCCTCTCTCCATCCGCTGCCGTTCGTTCTCCGTTTTCTGCGTCTTGAATCTTGATGTTTCCTGGAATTCGACTTCGATCCCAATTAGCGACGTGACGTCGCGCTCGCCTTTGGGAAGCTATTGATCCTTTGGATTTTCTACATCCGTCCACTCTTTGAGAAAGCCCTGCGTACTCGTTGTCGTTGTTCTTCACTCTTTTGCTTTATGCCAGCTGCCTGTTTGTCTGTTTCTTTTTTCGGTTTTCGGCCTGCGTCTTTATGCCATCACACTCCTTTGAACCCCCAGCCAGCAGAAGACCATCCTGCGTCACGGCCTAATATCGTGAGTTGCGAATCGAACAACAAAAGATCCATTGGCGCCATCTACGTCCCTCAGCTAACATCCCACCAAGAGCTGCTCCGATTGAATCTCGAGATACTCGACTACTACCGACGACAACACCGACGACAGAAAAACCCCCCCTCCCTCGCCCGCCCCCGAGCCGCCGCCCATCATGCGATTCTCACGGTTGGCCCCGTTGCTCACCTACCTCTCCTTCGCCGCCCTCCTCCCCTCCGTCTGCGCCGACAAGATCCTCCAGTCCCTGTCGCTCAACAGCTGCCAGAAGCAGTCCGACTTCTCCGCCTCGCTCTTCAACATCATCGTCTTCGCCAACAATGGCTCCGTCACCTGCAACGTCGCCGCCGTCGTCTCCGTCGAGGGCAAGGCCGTCTTCGACGTCGCCCTGCGCGTCTACGGCTACGAGTACATCCGCAAGACCATCGACCCGTGCAGCATGGACCTCCAGGGCCTGTGTCCCATGAAGCCCGGCAAGATCAACATGGAGTTCTCCTTCGAGCTCGGCGACGCCCTCGACCAGGTCCCCAGCATCGCCTACACCATCCCCGACCTCGACGCCACCGTCCACGCCCTCATCAACCTCACAGAGACCGACACCACCGTCGCCTGCATCGAGGCCGACTTCTCCAACGGAAAGACCGTCAACCTCAACGGCGTCAAGTGGGCCACCGCCATCATCGCCGGCATCGGCCTCATCTCCGCCGGCTTCATCTCCGCAAAGGGCCACACCGACGCCGCCGCCCACCTCGCCGCCAACGCTCTGTCATTGTTCGGCTACTTCCAGGCTCAGGCCTTCCTCGGCCTCACGGGTGTCGACATGCCCCCCATCGTCCAGGGCTGGACGCAGAACTTCCAGTGGTCCATGGGCATCGTCCGCATCGGCTTCATCCAGACCCTCGCGACGTGGTACCAGCGCTCCACCGGCGGCGAGGCCGCCGACCTCCTCAGCTCCCTCAAGACCTACTCCGTCCAGGTCTCCAAGCGCTCCCTCGACGCCCTCGACAACTACGGCGGCCCGGGGCCCCTCCTCAAGCGCGGGCTCTCCAACATCGCCAAGCGCGCCAACATCAAGCTCGACAACGGCTCCTACGTCGTCTACGGCATCCAGCGCGTGGCCTTCCGCGCCAAGATCGAGACGACGAACCTCTTCCTCACGGGCCTCATCATCTACATGATCTTCGTCGGCTTCACCATCGCCTGCGTCGCCGCCTTCAAGGGCGGCGCCGAGCTCGCCGCCAAGAGGGGCTGGATGCGCGCCGACCGCTTCCTCGAGTTCCGCCGCGACTGGTCCATCACGCTCAAGGGCATCATGTTCCGCCTCAACCTCATCGGCTTCCCGCAGATCGCCGTGCTGTGCCTGTGGGAGTTCGTCCAGCGCGACTCGCCCGCCGTCGTCGTGCTCGCCGTCTTCTTCTTCTTCGGCACCCTCTTCACGCTCATCTGGGCCTCCTTCAAGGTCATCCGCATCGCGCGCCAGTCCATCCTCACGCACCAGAACCCCGCGCACGTGCTCTTCTCGAACCCAAAGATCATCAACAAGTGGGGGTTCCTGTACGTGCAGTACCGCGCGTCGGCGTACTACTTCATCATTCCGTTTATTGCGTACATCTTCATCAAGGCCGCGGTGATCGCCTTCGGCCAGGCCTCGGGCGTCGCCCAGGCCGTCGCGCTCATCATCATCGAGGCCGGCGCCCTCATCGCCGTCAGCGTGTTGAAGCCCTTCATGGACAAGAGCACCAACTCGTTCAACATCTCCATCGCCGCCATCAACTTCGTCAACTCCATCTTCATGCTCATCTTCACCAACGTGTTCGGCACCCCGGGCCTGGTGATCGGCGTCGTCGGCGTCATCCTTTTTGTCGTCAACGTCGTCTTCTCGCTGGTGCTGCTGCTCATGGTCCTCATCTCGAGCATCCTCGTCTTCTGGCGTGTCAAGGGCCAGCCGATCGTGCCGAGCCAGCTGCACGACCCGAACGTGCTCGCGAAGCGCGACGGCACCGAGAACAAGTCGCTCCTCGACCTCGACGAGGACGACAAGCAGGGCCTGTACCGCCGCGAATCCGTCCGCTCGGTGCGGTCATTATACGGCGGCGAGAAGGCCATGGAGGACGGCAGGACGCGGGGCCCGGCCGACAGCCACGAGATGTCGTACCTGCCGTCGCCGACGACGCGGCCCGCCGTCAGCCCGGCGATGCCGCTGTTCCCGGCAGACCCGTCCCTGCGGCCACGGACGCCCACAACACCCCGCACACCGGGCGCGCAAGACCCCCCAGCAAGTCCGTTTGCGACAATGGACGAGTTTAGGCAGAAACATAACAATAGGTTAGCCTCCTTCCGTCTTGGGACTGATTTTAAGATGATTAGCTGACACATCATGCAGTCCATGGCAGCGCGGCGCAGGATACGAACACTAGATTCCATAAACACCATCATTTGTACTATTTATCACGCGGTTCCTAGAGTTTATACCATAAGACATAAAGAGTAATATCTCTTACACATTACACATAGTTCTTAATCGTGCCCATGCGGGCCGTCACAGGATTTCACAGCCCGGTGGTGAACCAACTCACCGCCAGCGTGAGGCCCTGAATACACTCAACTGACCAAATATCTAGATCGATGTCTTTTCTTGTACGGGGGGTGTGCTGGCATCTCATCATGGTGTTTATTGACCAAAAACATGCGTAAACCAAAACTCAAACACCGCTTACGATACGCAAAAATCTAGCAATCAAGCAAGCCGATGTTCCCTCACGCCAACTCCGCCTCGATGATGGCCTCGCCCCGATCCATCCCCGTCCAGATCTTAACCACCTTCAACCCAACCCCCTCGACAATCTCCCGCCACTCCCCCTCCGTCTTCTCTGCCGCCGCCATCCCCGCCATCATGAGCATATCCAACGACGTCACCCTCGCGACCGGATTCCTCTCGTTCACCATGTTCTCATGAATCAACAACTTGGAGTACCCTCTCTCCATCGCCGCCGCCACATTCCCCAAAATCTCCTGCGCCTTCGCCACAGGCCAATCATGCAGCACACCATGCATGGTATACGCCCTCGCCCCCTTCACCGGCTGCGGCGTAAAGAAGTCATACGTCTGCACCGTAAACGCCGGGTCCGGCTTCACATCCTTCAACATGCTCGGCAGATCCTGCAGCACCAGCGCCTCCGCGCTGATCTCCGGATGCCGCACATGGAACTTGACCAAATCATGCCCCTTGCCGCCGCCGACGTCCACAACCACTGCCCGCCCCGGCCGCGCGCCGTCGAGCAGCGTCTGCGTGGGGAACATCTCGGGCCAGTTGGTCAGGTTGCCGCGCGAGTTGCCCTCCATCGCATCGTTGAAGTCCTGCGCGAGGTCCGGGTGCGAGCCGATGTAGTCGAAGAACATGGCGTCCGGGCGGCCCTGCCAGTGCTGCAGGTTGGACTGTGTGTTGTCCGTCGAGTTGCGGAAGTTGGACGCCTTGAGGAAGGAGGGCAGCGAGATGAGGATGGGCGCGACGAGGCCGTGGTATTGGCCTGCGACGCAGCGCATGAGGCGTCCTGGTGGGAGATGTCAGCTTTGAGCGGGGAGGAGGCAGGGGTGGAAACGTACGGATGAGGGTCTCGTCGGCGCCTGTGAGTTTGGCGAGCTCGACACAGGTAATCGGACCGCCACCGGCTTCATCCCATTTCTTGAATGCGCCGGCGTCGATGAGCGTCTTGATCGCGGCGTTGACTCCGCTGCGCGTCACGACGTGGTCCCAGGCGATGTCCCACGGCGTCTGCATCCGTCTCAGGGCGTGGGGGAGCGCATCCCGCACGCGCACGCGGTCCGCGTTGTCCGGGAGGTCCTGGACGTGGATGTCGTTGAGGCTGGCGATGAGGTTGTCTACTTCGGCCATGGTTGCTACTTGCTAGAGATGGAGGGATCCGGGAAATGAGGGACGTGTAACTTCACCGGATAGGTATGAAGAGGACGGGGCCAGGCTTAAGACCTCTTGTCGGGGGCCCCGCGAAGTGCGAGCTACACGGGCGCAAGGGGCCGGCGGGTTTGCGCTCGTCGTTCACCAGCTCTTGCGAGATGATGGATTGAACCTTGCACCAACAATGGCTGCGTCTCGACGGCGTAGCAAGTTCACGTCCTGCTCCATTGAAAGCGCACTCAGATGCCCGATCGGGGGCCGCGTGGGTCGAGAGCAAGAGCCTCGATTCGCACCGCGGGAACAGCAAACCGCATGAACCCCTGGCCCGAGTCCCCACGCCTGGGTATCTGCCTGCATCTCTGCTTGCAAGCCGTTGGAGGCTCTTGGAGTCCTGCCGTTTCGGGGAACGCTGCTTGCTTGCCACAGGACCGCTCTCGTGTGTGGTGGACCTCCCACCCCGCTTGTCAAACGATGTTTGCTTTTTAGGCCTGGTGTAAGGAGGCACATTTCGGAGGCGGAGGCAGGCTCCGATGTGTTTGCTTCTGTTGAACGGCTGGGGATCCTCGTCGTATCTAACCTCCCCGGATTTAGCGCCAACAGAGTCGACTGGAGAGCGGTGATATCAGGGGGGTTTCGACCAATTAGCACATCAAAGTGGATGCTTCCTTCGTCTGTTTGCTACCTGGACGATGCTGTTGGGACTTTGGGCAGCCTTCCTCATCATGGCAAGCAGATCGTGGACACAGCAAGCCCGTTGGAAAGACTGATTAATAGATTACCAGCCTGTTTTCGTCGTTCGAAATACGGCCACGTGTGCAGAGGAGGACTCGTTCGCAGCTGTTGTGCTCCAACGGTCCACATCCGACGGCAATGCGATGCTTGGTCCTCTGGGGGAGAAGTCCACAGGTCCTACGTGCGCGATCGTGCCGACGGCCAAGTGCAGGTGGACAAACTCACAACCCACTATTCGTGGGGTTCACATGAGAGACACTGACTGTGTTTGATACATATGCGCAGTTGGCGGGGGAGATGTTGTACCCGGAACTCGGGGTTTGTGGACCTCAAGGGTGCGAGAACTAGGGTACTCGAGACCGAGTTAAGCGCGGGAAGGCCATACTTCGCGTTTTCCATATTGAATCCTATCTTGCTCCATCATCTGATTTTCTGTGATAATTGAATGCTGAACAACGGAAAGAGAGAGAGAGAGAGAGAGAGAGAGAGAGAGAGAGAGAGAGATACGGGTACAAATCCCGCGGGTCGCATCGCATCTGTCAGAACTCAACGATAAGCGCCGAGGTAACACAGCCAGGCAGTTGGTCCCCATAGACCAGGATGCGACACCCCTGCCCGGCCTCCCATTCTGACTGAGGGAGTTCTCACTTTCTTCAATCATGTCACATTCCGTTCGCGACTAAAAGAGAGCATTGCGAGACAACAAGATCAGGACTAGAACAGTCTTGTGCTCCGGGGCAATCGTGAGTGTGATAATTCGAAATACAACTCATGTCGTCTCGTGTCGAAACCAGTCATCCTCGGTTCGTAGTGCTGGCAGGAAGGTCTGCAAAATGTCAAGGCCCCAAAAGCAGGACAGTTTGGCGACCAACCGAATCACGGGAGGAAATAAGATTGTAGATCAAGAGTCCTGGATTGCGATGAAATTTGAAGTATTTCTCCTGCGCCGACTACAAGAAACCATCAACCCAAGCGCCGGAGAACCTCTCGAGAAAGACCCCAGATCGATGACAACTCTCCAAGTGTCTGATTCAGATACTGCAACTCCTCCGCGATCCCAAAAGCCTTTGCCGAGCGGCACGCCTGCACCGCGCCGTACACGAACACAAGCGGCGCATGTTGCAAGCCGTACTGGGTCCGGTAGGTGCGCAGGAGGGACGTCACGTCGGTTGCTGAAGTGCTGCAGTACACCCGCGACCTCTCCTCCGACTCGCTGCCGCGTGTCGCGATGGCCTGGTCGTAGTTTAAAGCGATGCGAGCGCTGTGGAAAAGGAGGCTGCGGTCTTTCAGTCGCCCATCTTGAATGCAATTGCGGATGGAGATACTCACTGCAGGGCAAAGACTCCGGGTATCGGCTTTGATGAAGGGCCCCATTTAAGCCACTTCGCAAAGTCGGGGAGAGATTCCCGCCAGCGGTTCAGCTCGAGGTTGAGGTTGTCGAAACATAGCCGGCGGCTGATGTCGTCTAGATGCGAACGAGGGCTAAACAGGGTCGTCATCATGCGCTCGATAATTCGCGACAGGCAGATCTGCTCATGGAGATATGGAATCATGGATGTTGCTTTCGTCGACTGCGTGTCTTCATCGCCAAAACCAACTGGTCGCCACGATGCCATCTCAGGCGGTTCACTGGTCAAGTCAGCATGAAGACGATCAGGGGATCAAGCGACATACGGCAGAGTCTCCATGGGCTGCACTTCCGCCTCGTCGTAGACGAGGTACACCGGCCGACCGAGGATGAGACTGATCAGCTTGTCGGAGATGTAGCAGCCCCAGTAGATGCGTCTCCGGATCTCGACATCTTCGGGAGTAGCTAGGGAAGAGTCGTGCTGGACCCAATCCTTCGGGTCTCTCTGGAAGCCCAAGTCTTGAGCCATCCTAAAGGCAATGCCTGTTGAGTCTGGTGTTAGGTACATCTTTCATCTTCGGCTTGGGCAAGCCCAGAGCAGGCGATGGGGTGCTTTCTGTTCGATCTCACCTGAGTAACCCCATCCTTTTGACAGATTACCCCTTCCAATCTCATAGAAGGCCAGACAAAGAAACGCCTGAACGGTCGCGATGGATGGCCTCGTCAGACCAGTTACCATGATAATGCTCTCCGCCGCCAGAAAGAACTGATCGCTTGAATCCTTCGTATCGAGCGACACAAGAGCTCCCAGCGCGCATACGGACAGTAACAGCGCCGAAGACCAGTACTTTCCGTTCTTCCTATCCCCAAAGTGGTCCCTTAGGAAGGCCTCACGATAAATGAACATGAAGTGAGGGTACTGCCACCGGAAAAACTGCGTCAGCGACTTCATGACGACTTCATCATGCATGCCAATCCCGAAATGCTCCATGACGCTCTCAAAGTTGGACTCGACGCCGTCGTAATAACCCTGACCAACGCGGTCGGTAACGTCCTTCTGCCCATGCTCTGCCTCGGCGCGGAAGATACTTGTAGCGCCGTGATAGACTAGCGATCCCTCTAGCCCGAGTTCGAGATTGGCTTGGTTACCTGCGTGGATTCCGAGCTGGGTAATGTACTCTCCAGGGGCCTGCGTCTCACTTTTGGGCGACTTGTCGTCCAAGGCGGTTGACTTGAGCATCTCCTCCCGCTGTTTTGGAGACGCAGCGCGCAGGTTCTTGACGAATGATTCGAACCAGGATAGGCGGCTTTCTAGGCTAGCGACGTATTCGTGCGAGACTGGCACTCTCTTGCGGTCGACCTCGCGGTACTCGCATGCGGTCTTGGACGTGACGCAGTTCTGGCATGGTTCTGTGCGGGAGCATTTCAACTAGGACGAGGACTCATCAGATCCATTCATGGCTGTCCTGGGGAGGCAGACTACCTTTCGGTATTGGCATCGCTTACACCTGTGATATATCAGCAAGCGTTCGGGCAAAAGCTTCGGAGAGTCACTTGGCTCACGAGATCCTTTTTACTGGCTTGCTCGGGGAGGGCATGATGTGAAGGGCGTAAATGAGTGACAGACATGTTCGGATGTCGTTGAGAGTTGGAGAGGCCAAGTCGCGGGGTTAGCGGTCGCGTCCCGCCTGAAGTACGGGCGGGCGTGAACAGCGCTAATGCCTGAACAGGGAGCCACCCAGGTCATCATCCGATCACGGTCTCAAGAATGGGCACTATCTAGCACCAACAAGTCATAGTCGAGCAGAAGCTTTTCAATTTAGACCGAAGCAAAACGATTCCCCTTTCCTTTGAGCGTCAAAATATGTATGCAGCTTGAGAGTTTCTGCCATCTACGCAGCTATTGAGCAACCACATACCGCGCCTACTCAGATACAACTCTGGAGCCATTGTCCAGAAAGAGAGGCGATTAGATTATGAGAGAGAAAAGATTGAGCTGTTGATAGTCTTACTATTCATTAATCTTCTACTTCGAGTGCAAATTGCATTGATTGTTGTATGTGATGTGAAACTGGGAGACATCGGGCAATGATGGGGAACGATAACAAGAACGGTGATAGGGAAGATGGCGGGAGACGACGACGGGGAACTGCGACGGAAAACGGGAAAATGGAAGGTGATGGCGATGATGCTGTGTCAGATTTCTTGCGAAACCCAACCCAAAGGTTCGACTTTTGTCCCTCTTCTGTCGGGATGAGCTCATGATAGACCGTCTGTGAAGGCGGAACTTGGAGAGATGCCCAATGCAATTCCCGACTTGAGAACCGCTACCAGTCTGTCCACGTCACTCAGGTTATTATAGAACCCAAACGACACCCTGATTCCTGACCTAAACCTCGTCACAACCACCCCGGAAGCGGACAAATGTTCAAGCCAACGAGGATCATGAAGCTGAAGAATATGAAGATGCGGCGCATGTCGACACCTTTCCTTCGGCCCCAAGACGCTGATACCCAACTCGGCGCAAGACTCTCGTAAAGCATCTCCAAGGCCGTAAAGATGGTTCTGAACATTCTTGGGACCCATAACCTCGAGATAAAACTCAAGAAATGCCCGAGCTGCAACGGCCAAGATGAAGCTCATGTTAGCGTGCTCATATCGGCGAGCCGTCTGATGGAACACGATCGGTCCCTCCGGAATCATGAAGTCTTCTGAGTCGCTAACGCTGGCCACGCCTCCGTAGCCGACAAGTGGCGGGGTTGGGTCAAGTTCTTCGATGACGGCAGAATCGACATAGAGGGCTGCGAAGCCTGTTGGTGTGTTGAGCCCCTTGTGTAAGCTGAAAGCAGCTGCTGAGACGCCTAGGGCCCGGACATCAACGTCGGCGAACCCGACTTGCTGCGTTAAATCTGCAAGGACATGGATGCGCATTGGTCTGTAGACAGAGCAAACATCTGCGATATCGTTCCATTGTCCACTATGGAACATGATTGAGCTTAGGCCAATGGCTTTGGTCCTGTCGTCGACATAGGGGGCGAAGGTCTTCGCGTTGGCGGCGACAGGTCTCTCAGAGTCCGTCGGGACAAGGCGGACCTCCAAGCCGAGTGGACGAAGTGCCATCCAGCCGAATGCCTGGTTCGGGTGCTCGCAGTCTAGAATGACTACGTTATCTCCAGGCTCGAACTTCAACCCGTGGATGAAGCTTCCAACGCCCTCTGTCGTGTCGCGGACAAACGCTATTGACGATGGATCTGTGTTGATGTACCGAGCCAAGAGCTGATGGACGGCCTCGACGTCTTGACGCCAGCAAGCTTTGGGCGATGGATGGTGAAGAGATTCCGAGCAGAAGCGGCGGATGGCTTCGTCCACGATGAGGTTTGACGGGGGCATGAAGCCGGCGTTAAGGTGTGTTATCTTGCCATCGGATGCTAGAGGAACCAGTCGGCGGAAGATTTCGAAGTCCCCCTTGTGATAACTGACAGCGGCAACTGAGCCATTCCTGACCTTGGTGGCAGTCATTGGCTCGGCATCGAACAGGTCTTGAACGCTAGAAGGAGCCATGGTTTGAAATTTTGGCTGCAGTCACAAAAAGGGGTGAAAGATGAGAAACCTAGGTCTAGATAACAACTGCAGTATTTATATCGCATTATCTTGCTGGCTCGTATGTGGAAGATGGTCGAGCGACTAGCCGTGGAGTTCAATCTCCGTTGCTCGTCATCATCCCATATTGGCCGTTGACGGTCGTCTGAAAGCGATCGCTAGGACGCGTTCATAGCCATGCTACGGAGCGATATCGGAGACAAACTAGAGGCGAGTCCTCTGACGCATCGGAAAATGAAGCATATGATCAAAATTGAGGGAAGCAAGTTGTTGGCGATGCCCGGTGAGGACCAGGGCGGGACCCATGATGGAGTTGCAATTCCGTCCACTCAGAATGCGTAATTAAGATCCACCCTTTCCATTTTCGGCTGCTATTGAGGCGACGGACATCCAACTCCATTGTGGGTATCGGAGGTTCCGTCCGTTGAAGCCGCTGTCGACTTTGACTAAGGTAGCCAAACCATGGAAATACAAAGTCAAAAACTGAGAGAGACGTCAAAAAGTTGGTAAGTATCGAACTCCTATGATGACGAGCAGCAATCTTTGAGAAGCAGTGTCCGAATTAGAAGACCTCGACCGAATGAGCTTCAGCGAACCTGAGCAACATGGTCTCGATAGTTGAAGCGGGAGAAAACGTCGAAGCAGGTGTCCATTGTTTCCACCATCATTCTGGCTGGAATTAGCTGCCTTCTTGGGTCTCCAATTATAATGATGAAGGAAACGAGTGAGTATGGCCATTGGACAGGGAGGCTTACAGACAGCTAAGCTTGCATTCATGGATCTGTGACGTCGAGATTGTGAGAAAGGAGGAATGCAAGCAGCCTTCGAGAAATCAGGAACACCTTACCACGCTTTATCATCGACGAAGTCCAGAAGGATGAGAGCAACAACATACGCAAAGACCGAGCCAGGGAATATGATTATTTGCCAAGCTGTGAAGGACCCGAAACCACACATCCCGCCGTCATCGGGTTTACCAAGAGGTCTCCGTTCCTGCCCACCGCCAACTACAGTTTTGGTGCATGGGGACTATACGCGATGGCTTCGCATGTTTCCGACCACATAGACAGAGTGTGGGAATTTCATCAAAGCATCAACGATTACCAGTGGCTTAGTACGAGGCCTGTGTGGTTGAAAGTTTCAGCTAATCATCACATTTACATGTAAGTCATTTTATGGCGGAATGTGAATGTACACAACTCACTAGGATTAGGCATGTCATGGTCATGATAGGGTCACACATGTCGCGGTTACGATGGAGTCAAAAGTCTGAGTTGGGTATTGCAATGTGCGACGGTGAGGTATTAAGGGAAAAAAGCCCACGATGTGGGAAAACAATTATTGCTGAAGGAATAATTAGAACTGAACGGAAGAAAGTCAACACTGAATGAAATGAGTGACTGAAGACAGCGCTGTAGCAATCGCTGAAAAGAATATGCAAACGCTGTTCATCTGAATCGTCAATCTCACGCCAGTTAATTTCAGACCCTCAGTGCCTCCCGTGTCAGAAGCTGTCGTCGTCGTTGACGTCATTGTCGTTGTCGTCCCCGTCCCCCATCGCCGTCCTCCATCGTCATCCCTCGTCGTCCTTATCGCGTTTCATTCTCCTGAAATATCATCTGCGGTATCTTTCACCCCTGTCATCCATGCTGTTACTTTTTGCCTGAATGGTTCCGAAGATACCTGACTGGATTATCAACTCTTCCGGAGACAAAAAAAACCGCAGATCAACTGGGCCAGCCCCTTTGAGTTCATAGCCAACTGAATCAAGGACAACATCTATTTGCCATAGATATCAAGTACAAGGCATACATCATATGCCTTCTCTACAGCAGATCAACTCGCAAGCATCCTGCAGCTACCTTTCAAGCGTCTTTTCTTTGTGTGAACCTAACATCGGTTCAGATTGGTCAGATAGCTATGCCAGCTCTTGACGGTGGGTTTCAAAGAGACTGAGCATGTAAAGCTGAGCATGGCTGTTGATAAGTTGTTCTTGTTCTGGGTTCAAATTATGTCTTTGTTCGTAAGCCACTTTAGACCGGCGAGATCAGAGTCCAGTCTGCGTGGAGTGTGAACAGTCCTGCAGCAAAGCGTCCATGATTTGGCCTTGAAGCACGGAGTAATCAGTGACTGGTCTATAGGCAATACCGACGTTCTTACAGAGAAGAGAGTGATAAATTCAGTGTATGAAGGTGAAGTATGATGTTCACAACACGCGGTTGTTGTTGCTCGTTTCGTTCTGTTGGTTCTATTGGTCATTGCATTTGCGTCATCGTACTTACCACCGGAAGCGCTGGATGCTTAACGGTAGAGACTCGCGATTACAAGAAACCAAACCGACACAATTGAAGACGTTGGGCGCGGTGTTCTTACAGACAGATCAAATTTATTTCTTGTTCATTACATAGTATCTCTGTTCCTTCACACCTTAAACACGGCACATCCTGCCATCGTTGGCAATGCTCCACGACTCGCTACCAACAGCGTTGCGAGCATAGAAGAATCCTTCGGGATCCCACTTCTTCTTCAGGCACGCCAGGGAGTTGTAGTTGCTGCCGAAGAACTCCTTCTGGAAGTTGGGCTGCTGGAAATCAGCCTCGTTCATGTACGCGCCACCAGCAGGGGTGAGAGCCTCGATCTCAGGCATGATGACGTCGGTCATCAGAGTCTGCTTGGCGAGCATCTCGTCCCAGGGGGCAGTGAAGTTCCAGACGGTGGTCAGGGTGGCGTGGACGAGGGTGTTGCGCCAGGCGGGGGTGACGGAGTTGGTGTCCTTGTTGCCGAACTTGCTCACGTCGGTGCCGACGCCGATGAAGGTGGCGCCCTTGGCGGCGACGCTGCGGGAGAAGGAGCCGATGTTGGTGATGTTTTCGCGGGGGATCAGGCGGCCGCCGTACTGGGCGATGCCGACCTGGATGTTGCCGATGGGCAGGGGGCCGAAGTACTTGTCGTAGTGGCCGTAGTAGCTGTCGTACTCGGAGTAGTTGACCGTGTAGGTGATGCCGAGGGCGTCGAGGCGGGCGACGAAGGGGGCCATGATGGTCTTGACCTCGTCGGAGGTCTTGTTGAAGGCGTTCAGGGGCGCGATCTGGAAGAAGGTGGCGCCGAAGTAGTAGACGACCATGGTCTCGTTGTCGACCATGCCAGCGAGCTCCTCGTGGAAGGCATCGATGGAGTTGAAGAAGGCGTCGTTGTCGTTGTCGGCGGCCATGATGACGAGGGTGGCACCTCCGACCTTGGCGTCGGCGTGAGCCTTGACGGTCATGGAGGTGACAACACCCCAATTACCGGGACCACCGCCGGACAGAGCCCAGAAGAGGTCGGCGTTCTCGGTCTTGGAGGCAGTCAGAAGGGTGCCGTTGGCGATGACGACCTCCCACTCGAGGACGTTATCAGCGCTCAGACCGAATGAGGTCGAGAGGGCAGAGTGACCACCGCCCTGGGTGTAGCCACCGGCGATACCGACGGTAGGGCACTCGCCGCCGACGACGGCAAGACCAGCGTTGTGAGCGACCTCCATAACCTCGAAGCCCTGGGTGCCGGCGCCGATCTTGGCAGCCTTGCCGCTGTAGGCAGCGGTAGCCCAGTCAACGATGTCGACGCTGTTCATGTGGTGAGTCCACACGGAGAGGGCACCGGCACCGGTGGAGCGACCAAGGTAGTCATGGCCAGTGTTGCGGACGACGAAGCGGATGTTGTGCTCCTGAGAGAAGGAGATAGCGGCCTGGATGTGCTCGGCGGTGGTGGCGTTCACGGCGTAAACGACGTAGTTGCCAAGCAGGCAGGGACGCGACTCCGGCTGGAAGGGGTCGCAGCTCTGGTTGGCGAAGAAGGGAGCCATGATGGAAGAGGAGGACTCCATACTACGTGATTGTTAGTGGCTATCATCACACATCGGTCAAGAATAGTGACATACTGGATCTCAGAGTCCTGCCACTCGCTCTGCAGCGTAGCGCAAGTGGCAGCGTCGTAGGTAGGGTCATGGCAAGGCGAGCCCAGAGGGACGGTGGCGATCAGCCTGCCGCCAACGGTAGTGTTGAGGGCATTCCAAGTCTCGGTAGACGGCCAGCAGCTGTCACCGGGGAAGCACTTGCACTCCGTGGCACGCTCGGCGAAGGGAGCAAAACCGGAGCCGGGACGGTTGGGGGCCGCGAGAGCGGCGCCGAAGAGGGCCGCTTGGAGGACAAAGCTCTTCATGTTGACTTTCCGGCCGTGAGGTGTGAAGATGCGAGGAGGGAAACGAGAGGACAGCGCGCGACGAGTGACAAAGAGGCACAAGATCGGCACGTTCGACGGCTAGGGAGAGTAAAAGAGAGTGTATTGCCGCTGGATCCCTTCATCAAAAGAGAGTTTTTTTTCTGCTCACCCGCGGCCAAGGGCGGCCATTTTAGTACGATGCGAGTCTGCAGACTGCGTTTACCCGGCCTCCGGGACTACGGCATGTAGGTTCCATCGCTCATATCCTAGTGAAGTCGTTTCCCGACTGGGATGGCTGACCCGAGATTGGGAACCTATAAGACGACTTCGCCCCCTCGAACTAGTGGAAGTTTGCCGCGTACGGCCTTACTTGGTGCTGATGAATCCATACTGCTCGCAAGGTCGCCATGATAGAGAGGGATCAAAGGCCCAGGATCGATGCTAATGCAGTGCTGTTTGAGGCTGGTCTCCTTGGCCCCCTTGCCTGGACTTGTCCCTGGGTAGGCTAAGCGTTGGGGGCGGTGGATCACGAACGAGGACAATACCGACCTACTATGTAGATATCGACCGGAAATCAAGGGGGGACGGTGAATGCTGGATGCCTCGGTGGACATTTCTGTAAAGTCCAGTCCCCACTGCTCGTTCTTTGTCGCGTCGGGCGGCGTTGTTGAGCTCCGACTTCCGCCATATCAAGGCACTGGAGCCTCGGACCATGAAAATCCCGTCCTCATGGTATGATGGTGGATTTTGGGCCTGGTCTGGCT